ACAGTCGGCCATTTCTCCATTAACATCTCCAAAATGTACCGGGACTTCATATCATGGCAGTGGAAAGACATTACTCGTGTAGTCAACCAAGCCAAGCGACACGACCAGCTTCTCATAGGCATTGGCATTGACTCAAAAGGAAGTCAACCTTGGAAGAAACTCTTGTCTGATAGGTCTCCTTACATTCTGGTCTACGCAAATGACTCGGCTATCTCAGAGCCCGAGAGTGTCGTGTCCACCCTGCAGAGACACAAAAACAGACTGGTGCCAAATCTTCATATGCTCGAAATACATAATGGCAGTGCCTCCTCACAACATCGGACCAGGCGGTCCGCCAACATCCTGCTACCGCTACAGAACAATGAGCTTCCAGGCCCAGAGTACCCTTATGAGATACCTACATGGGATGAGACCAGCCCTTATGATCCAGTGGAGAGTAAACCAGTCAAGCACCCTCGCAAGAAGCCTCGCAAGAATCCACGGCACAAGAACCCTCTCCTGCAGTTCGATGAGCAGACCATTAAGAAAGCACGTAAAAAGCAGTGGAACGAGCCAAAGAACTGTGCTCGCAGATATTTAAAGGTTGATTTTGCAGATATCGGCTGGAGCGAGTGGATTATCTCCCCCAAGTCTTTTGATGCGTACTACTGCTCGGGGTCATGTCAGTTCCCCATGCCAAAGGTACGTTACTTATTGATGGCTACTAAAATCTTACATTCCATACGTTTTTGTAGAAATCAGTTAGCTGGACTGTTTTGTTTTTAATTTAGCAAGAAGTCAAGCTGTTTGGTTAAATGAAGCACCCATTTTGTTGACACGTGCATCTTTTATTTGTTGTAAGTCAACTAACTTAAGTATCTAGAGCAGAGGGGAAAAGGACGGATACAGACATGAAAAGAAGTGATTTATAAGCACCACCTAGTGGCAGTCAGGAGAAAAGATGTAAATCATTCAGCTCGACACTGTGGGCAGCACAGCAGTTCATTACGCTTCCATTAGTACACCATTTATGTCAGACTCATTGTAAAACCTGCCCATTGCCACTTTGAGATGTTGCTAATGGTTTTCCCTCTTAAGTTAAAGAAACAAGAAGTCTTATGTAATGTGGCAGTTTTACTAGTTTTTTACTACAGTTTAATGTTTCTGTAGTAAAGCTGATTATAGAAAACCAAGATCCAGTTGTTTCATATTCTAAAATGTGTGTGGCTGAACCCCTTACCATCCCTCCAGATAATTTACATTTTGATCTTGTTTTAGCAAATTAGGGATGCACAGTGTATCAGTACCATATGAGATAAATGAGATATTAGAGATTTAAATGATCAGTGTCAGTGGTTCTTTAATAGCCCATGCCCTCTTTTTTCAGATGACCATTGTCTTAACAGTCACTTAAAGTTAATCTTTAAAAACCATAATAATGTAATAAGACACACTTGATCAATCTCAAAATGAATATCCGTTTATCATAATGTACGTTATAATTGTGAAATTCACTTTTAGCTTTAAAAAAAGTTTTATTTTAGTTTTTAGTGTTTTATAACTAATTTATTTAGATAAAATATTATAGCATTTTAATTTCTGCAATTTATCAGTTATTGGACAAAATTGTAACATTGGTGCATTACCAGTGTTATTTTTTACATACTATGTATGTACTATTATGATATTTATTTTCATATTTTCAGTTTTCAGTTTAGTTTTAGTATTTGTGTGTTTTGTCATTTTTTTTTAGTTTTTGTTTTATTAAAAAAGCACCAACATTTCTAATTTTCATTGCGTTTTCAGATTGTTTTTCTACTGTTTTTTTATTTTATTTTATTTCACCTTTATTGTATTTAGCAATTTCTTAAGTAGTTTGTTTCAGTTTACAACACCTTGCATCACTACGGCAGACAGCCGTCCCATGTCAGGCTTGCTTTGCTCTTCGAATGATTGTATTGTGTATTGGAACATGGCTGGAATAGCCTGAAACCATACACAATGTTTTACTTCTTTTTACACCCCTTGGTGCTTTTAACTGGTTTATCCAAAAACGAACTGTACTGTCCTAAACCCAATAATAGCTTCTGAACTTTTTACCTCCACCAGTCTTTGAAACCTTCAAACCACGCCACCATTCAGAGCATCGTGCGGGCAGTGGGGGTGGTCCCGGGCATCCCAGAGCCCTGCTGTGTACCGGAAAAGATGTCTTCCCTCAGCATCCTCTTCTTTGATGAAGACAAGAACGTGGTCCTCAAGGTCTACCCAAATATGACAGTGGACTCCTGTGCCTGTCGGTAAACGCTTTGGTCTTTTCCACCAGCCTCCCTCCCTTAAACTGATTCCAAATGTTTGCACTGGAAGAAAGACTGAAGATGTTCATTTCATAACCCTTGAAGAACTATCTCCAGCTTTAAGGATTGTGAAGAGCAAAGTGCTTTTCCAGAAGGAATTCATTACTGTTAGCAGGAGGCGTCAAGCATCAGTAGAGATATGAGCATATGAAGAGACTGTCTGTCTGCGTTTGACCAGGAAGTTCTCATGTTTCTATAACCTCAGCAGTTAAGCACACAGGGGACAAACATTTGCTGTCATCCATCATGTTTCTGTACAGTTTGTATAATCTGTCATTATTATAGCTATATTTTTGCTACAGAGGCATTGATTGACTCTTATTGTTCATATTCTATGGCTGCTATACGGAGGTAGACTTTACTCCAGAGCCCAAATATGCTGAAAACTGGACTTTTGAAAAAAAAAAAAGAAAAAGAAAAGGAATCTCTTTTTGTTATGTTTGTCAAAAAAATCGATTTATATTAAAATGACTGCCTATATAAGTTACATATTCAGTTTTCCACATTAAGCTTAAAACAGTGTTTGATTTCTGGGTGATTCTGTATTGAATGTCTTTAATTGTCAGAAAAAAAATATATATATATATTTATTTTCTCCAAAAATGTGCATTGTTAGAAGCTTACCTGTAATAGTGTTACATCACATTTTGTAAACGTAATTGTTTAGTCAGGCTTTTATGCAATTGTAAATATGTTCAATCATGTTTCTGTCTGGCCTGCTAATACAAGGTTGCATCCTCACGTTCACCTGAATTCATAATGCATATGCACGCATTCAGAAAAAAAAAATCTGTCATTCCTCTGAAAACTGCAAATAGATTTCAAAAGACCAGCCGCTATATTACGAGCAATGTTTCAAATGATATGTTCAGGAAGATGATTATTAAAATTGTATGTAGATTATAAGCCTTTGTCTCTTTAACACAACTGCCTATATAAAGTGCCTTACCACATTAAAAAGATTCATCATACATTAAAATGAATATTTTACTAGAATATTTATATTTCACAATGATGAGTGTAACTTATGTAATGTTTTATTTTTCACTATCACTTTATTTAGATCAAATCTGATATTTTGTTCCAATAATGATTTCGGTATACATTTTGTACTGTTTTTACTTTGAAATTAGCATAAAACTAAAGCAAATACATATCATAAGCTGCATGTTCATAAACGGGGTGCGTTCAAGTTGGAGTTTTTTGTTGCTGTAAATTCAGCCTGTGGACAACAGAGAAATGTACACATATATGTAAAAGTGGGCTATTATCTTAATATATAATACATACGTCAAGAAACACTATGTAAAGCACTCCTTTAGCATTTGTGTAATATATTTTTTGGAAGGCTTCCACCACACTGCGTTTTGTAAATGTTATGATGTGGGTGAAAGGATGTGCTTTGTATTATAAGCCTCATAAGAAATTATATTTGTATATGGAAATGACCTTTAAAAGCATTTATTTATTTTCTGTACGGTGCCTTCTGTATCTTATTTTTGTGAAGCACAGAGGGGCTTCATTAAATATTCATTGAGCTTTGCTGCACAAAGGTCAGATAGGGGTGCAAAAGGAAGCAATCACACGGACTCATGTCAAATGAGTGAGAATGCTTATATTTGTAGCACATCTCCCTAGTTGAAAGAATCCCTTTTGGCAGAGCATTCCAAGAAAAAAAGTCAATAAAGTTTTAAGAATTATGTAGCCACGTGTTTATTTGTCGTGTGTTAAAGAACTCAGAACTTTAGTGAATATCGATTGCATTGTTATGCAATCAAAAATTATGTTGAGACTGTTGCATCATGGAACATGATGTAATTTGCTTAATGGGTCAATAAGGCCTCTAAAGTTACCACACAAGTCCATTATTTAATAGATATACTCATTTACAAATCGATACTGTGCAATGACTGCTGGACTTGAAATGTCCTGGGAACAAAAATGTACATTTTCGCTGACATTTTTATATGCAGTTACTGTAAAACATCTTGTAGAATGACTTAAAACAATCTAAATTCTCACCTATTCACAAGGATAAAATAAGCAAACTTCAAACATTACATCAACACAAACATATTTGGCTCAGGTGCAGAGGTTAGAGCCACCTGAAGTACTTGAACTCTAGGAAAAGTCACTAAAAGACTACTTTTCACATAACTCTGCTTGAAATGTACAAACTGCAGTGCCAGTCACCCGCTGAGGTTAACCTTTGAAACCTCATCAGTGGCATTCACAGTCACAGGTGGTTATTACCGTACCTTCAGGAGCTCAAATACGTGACATCACCAACGCTTCTAAAACAAGGAACATCTCACCTTCCTGCCAAACCACAAACCCTTCTGCACTTCTAAAGGTAAATATTACCAATGGCTTCACACCATCCTCTATGATGTCCCGGCTACATCATTCTCACAGACTGATCCTGCTCTGACATCTCAGTGGTACGGTTTCAGTCAAATACATTAATCATCACAATGTATGAGTACATCTGAACACTGAAACAATTCCCTTCTTATGTCTGTGCCTCCCACAGCACTAACAGTTTAGAAGCACTGTTTGCTTCTGTTGGCTTCATGGTCTGAGGTTCCTTGGAAGAAATGCTGGCATGTTGGAGATGACAAATGGCAGAAGGGTTCTGTTTAACTCACACTGTTTGAACACGTGGATGGGGGGGGTGTCAGTTAGAAGTCTGTGTCCCAACCCGACATTTCATCTGGAGGGATTTCTTCTTCAGGAGGATAACTGTCAAAGTAACTGTGGTCAGTGGGTCCCTTCACCTGAAGAAAAAGAGAAAACAAGATAATATTCAGATACACTACTAGAGATGTAACGATTCACTCAACTCACGATTCGATTCACGATTTTGATTTCACGATTCGATTCACGATTTTTGTTTTTTTACAAAATGAGATTTTTAATTGAACCGCGATTTGTTTAGCATCTCAACCGATTTGAATCATCACATATTTGAATCGATTTTCAACCGGCTCGCTGTTAATCGTTACATCCCTATACTGTTCAAAAGGGTCAGTAATATTTGTAATTCTTTTAAAAGAAATTAATACTTTTATTCAGCATTAAATTTGACCGAAAGTGACAAAACGTTTTAGACCCCATTCACACCTGTATTTAGCGTTGTCCACTTGTGATCGGATCGACAAAAATGCATCTTAATACCAGGTGTAAACAGAGCCTAAGACTTTTACATTGTTACAGAAAAAGGTATATAAATGCTCAAATAAATGCTGTTCTTTTAAACGTTCTATTCATTAAAGAATCCTGAAAACATGTTCCATGATTTCCATAAAAATATTAAGCATTACAACTCTATTCAACAATAATAAATGTTTCTTGAGCTCCAAATCAGCATATTAGGATGATTTCTGAAGGATCATGTGACACTGAAGACTGGAGTGATGCCTGCTGGAAATTCAGCTTCGCCATCAGTATTAATGTTTCTACCATATTTTTGATCAAATAATTGGAGCCTTGGTGAGTGTAAGAAAAAAAACAATTATTATACAGGAATTATACATTATTATACATAAATTATCATAGGGTATTATACATGTAATTTTGACACAATCCTATAAAATAAACTCTGTCCAGGTAATGAAGGTGTGTTTTACCTCTCTTTTAAGTGGTGATATCAGACTTCTGGATTTCATACCACTCCAGCTAAATCCTGTAAACCATCTAAACACCAAAGAACAACATCATGAATTAAATCACCATTGTACAATTTTTGTAGGTGATAATGACACAGATTTCAAAATGAGTGTTTATGGATGCTTTCAAAATGCTAAATGCAAATGTAATGTTTCCTAACATGATGGAAACCTGTTTGCAAGCAAACGCAAGAGAGCGAAGTATCCACTGGACCTCTGGCTGTATAAGTACATCCAAGAGCATGCCCGAAATAGCCAGAAAATCCATGGAGGTCAGGATTAGAATCTCCTCAAGTTTACTGATTCATTTGTTAAAACATTCTCAGAGTGTCTCGGTGGAACAATAAATCAAGCGACCTAAGGTTATTTTGGCTGCCATCATTACGAAAAACCAAGCATACTGTGGTTTTAGTTTTTAAAACATGAGAAATCTGAAAATCTTTCTGAAATGAAACACAAAAATGAGTATATCTGTAGTAATAATATGGGCATTCTGGCCAATATTTTGCATTAGGGATTCATACTTTATACGTATGAGATGAGTATTTCAAATAAGACTTACAAACTTATGAGGACATTCTTAAGTCAAGCAGCACCAGATTGTTACTGTTGTCCTCTCACCTGTGTTTTTTAATATCAGTTATTCCATTCTTCAAATTTCCCAGTCGCTCTGAAGGGTTTTGTCTTCATGGAAAAAGAGGACAGCAAAATCATATTATTATATATAGCAGTGGGACCTGAAGAGTTTCAGAAAACAGGTGAAAGACATGAGAATGCGTTAAGAATGATCCATGATCATACCTGCACAGCTTTCGAATAAGGTCACCTGGCCTCTTGGTGATCTTTTTAGGGAAGTCCATCTTCTCAATTCCTTTCAGAATGAATGTGTATATAATCATCTGATCTGAGCCAGTAAAGGGGGGGCTTCAGGAACAATCAGATCACATACGTTTCATTATAATAATCAGAACAATCTTTTACATGCATCTGTATTATGAAATGTGACCCTGGACCACAAAACCAGTCATAAGGTTCAATTTTACAAAATTGAGATTTATACATCATATGAAAGCTGAATAAATAATCTTGGGTCACAAATGTCTTCCAACACACAGGGTTTATGACAAGAAACCCAGGTTGATGCACACCTTCCTGTAAGAAGTTCAAAAATCAGGATTCCAAGAGACCAGAAGTCCACACTGAGACCATGACCTTTATTGAGAATGATTTCAGGCGCAACATACTCTGGAGTCCCACAGAACGTCCAGGTCTTCTGGCCACACTTGAGCTTCTTAGCAAAGCCAAAATCCACCTGAGAAAAGATGCTTTGAATTGATATCGCTGAACTGAGTTGACTGAGTGAAGTTTGCTGACTTAGCAGAGGAGCTTACCAACTTGACATATCCATCTGTGTCCAGCATGAGATTCTCAGGCTTCAGGTCTCTGTATATGATACCGTTGTTGTGGAGGTAGTCGAAGGCCTCTGTCACGCAGCCCACACAGAACTTGGCAGTGTACTCATCAAAACTCCCCCTGGATCAAAACAGGCACACTTTTAGCATATGCATTAAAACAGGGAAGTGGACACTGACCACATGAAATGGAGCTAACCTGTCTCTAAGAAGACTCCAGATCTCGCCACCCAAACACGCCTCCAACAGCATGTACACATACTTGTTGTCTTTAAAAGTGCGGTACATTCTAAGTGAAAAACGTATAGATTAGATCTAAATAGAACAAATACGTTTTGAAATTCACGCCATGCTCAATATTACATCCACTGCCACTGGCTTTTCTCTTATATCTGGTTACGATCCTTCTCTCTTAATTCAATCATGTGAACACTAAGGGGATTCATGGGTATCTCTTTAAAAGCAATTAACAGTGAAATTCAATTCTCACTTTATTTTCAAGATGTTCCAATATTTCCTAAAACTCACAAGACTAAACAGGCATTACTAAAACAGTCTGATCATACTAGATGAACATACTTGACAATGAAAGGAGAGTTTGTCTCAAGCAAGATCCTCCTCTCGGAGTAAATGTGCTCTTCCTGTCTGTTATCCACAATGTGCCGTTTCTTGATGCATTTCAGAGCAAACGTCTCATTCTCATTCTTCGCCTTCACCTAGAGCAAAACTGGCATCATTATTGCTCATATGTGACCCTGGAGCACAAAACCAGTCTTAAGTCGCTGGGGTATATTTGTAGCAATAGCCAAAAATACATTGTATGTGTCAAAATTATAGATTTTTCTTTTATGCCAAAAATCATTAGGATATTAAGTAAAGATCGTGTTCCATGAAGATATTTTGTAAATTTCCTACCCTAAATATATCAAACTTAATTTTTGATTAGTAATATGCATTGCTAAGAACTTCATTTGGACAACTTTAAAGGCGATTTTCTCAATATTTTGATTTTTTTCTGCACCCTCAGATTCCAGATTTTCAAATAGTTGTATCTTGGCCAAATATTGTCCTTTCCTAACAAACCATACATCAATGGAAAGCTTATTTATTCAGCTTCCAGATGATGTATAAATCTCAATTTTGAAAAATTGACCCTTATGACTGGTTTTGTGGTCCAGGGTCACATATTATTCCTTCACTTTGTGTAAATGATTTTTTGTTTGAATGTTAAATGATGAAGAGAAAGTGTGATTATTTTCAACAAGTTTCTAACCAATTCAACTCTGCCAAAGCCTCCAACTCCCAGCGTGGCAATAACCTCGAGGCAGCTGAAGGGTATGGTGGATGCAAAGTTGCTCTCTCTCTCTTTCAGCTCAATCATATCATGTGACACAGGTGTGGTGGGAGGAGTGCGGCTTCCTGACCTCCTAAAAGAATATCATTTAATATAATTAAATGAGCACATTTGTGACATTGGCCATTGTTCTGCTGATAAAGTAAAAAAAAAAATGCAAACATTCAGAACAGAATAATTTTCATAAGTGGTCTCCGATTTTCGGACCTCACTGTATATCAGAATAAATAGGTGGATTATGTCTGCAGTATGTGCATATGTACATGTTATGAATTATATGAATTATATTCTTCAATTCTGTCAATTGGAGATTGCTGGTAAATATCAGCCTATATTTAACTTAAAATTAATTAGTTGTTGAAACTAAAAAGTGTTTTTTATTTTGGTTTGGTTTAAGTAAGGTCAGCTAATTCGTTTTTACAGTGTAAGCTATACACACTTGAAAACACTGTTTGACAGCACAATGGAGAGGCAAGGAGTCAAGAAGATTATCCTTGTTTAAATAAAAAGAAACAGCTAGTACTTACTTAGCATTTCTTTTCTTATCGTCCCGTGCTAAATTTTCGACATAGCTCTGCAGGTACTTTTTAAGCTCATCAAAAGTTCCAACAGTCTGACTGAAGGTTCTGAGAAAAGACCGTTGTTACTGTCACTGAGTACCAAAAAAATCATAATCAAGTGAATGATGACGATCTTGAAGTAGGAACTCACTCTCGATCAATGACGAGGCATTCCACGCCATCCTCATCTGCGATTATATTCGCAGACCTGACATCATCGCTATGGTTTGACAAAGCAGGAACACATTCAGTGAATTAGACATAAACTGAGCTAAAAATGGCTCCTAAAATGACAGTTTTATGGATTTGTTTGTAATAATATTCTGTTAAGTCATATACACGTTGACAAGACTAAGTTGCTCTCTGTTACAGCAGCAATACTAAAAGACCTCATTTACCAAAAGGTTATTGAAACAGGATTAAAGTGGGGAAATGAGAATTGAGCTGGGGATTGATGAAAGACAGCACCTGATGAGGGCCTTCTCTCCGAAATAATCCCCTTTCCCCAAGGTGTTGATGATCTGAGGCTCTTCATGATCCTGTGTGCTCTGTGTGACTTTAATCTGGGCAGCACAGAAAGGCAGAGGTTACATTTCAAAATGTACAAACCATATCAGTTTAAGAGAACAACTGTATGTCTTATGATCTGTATTTTTTTTTACTTTGGATTTATGGTCCAAATCTATTATTAATTATATAAATTTCATGTGTTGAGATGATGCATCACATATAGACTGCATCCTTCAATTCTAGGCAGCATGTAATCAATAATAACGATACTGAAGAAATGGAGTTAGTTGTCTGAATTCTGATTCATTCTCAATTCTGTAAAATGATCCAGAAAACCACGGTGACACCTCTTGACTTTTCTGATCAACCGCCAGTTTTTGGTGGCCGGCAGTAATGGCCTTATTCCCAACACGCTCTCGGACATGGTGGC